ACACAAAACCCCCCTCCATACACCTTTTTACGAGTATTCGGGTGTCAGTGTTACCCTTACCTTCGGCCCTACAATCGGCACAAGGTAGAGTACCGCTCGGCACCCTGTGTCTTCTTAGGGTATCCTTTGTCCTTTAGGGGTTACAGATGTATGGACCTAACAAGTGGAAAGATCTATATCTGCCGCCATGTGCGCTTTGATGAAAATGTTTTCCCTTTTACAGGCTTAACTCAACAGGCTAGTGGGCCTATAATACAACATTCAGCCCCGTGGGCCGATAGTGACACAGTCAGACACTGGTCAGCCCGTTACCCAGCCGGATCCAGTTGGTCCAGTCGATCCAACGCCGTTGGCCCAAGTACCCCCAGCATTGGCCATTGAAGGCCCCGCTCAGCCTCGACGCCGTAAGGCTCGGGAGCCATCACAGCCGCTTGCAATGCGGCTCAGACACATGACTCGAGGCACGAGTGAGGAGTTTCATGCCCTAAATGCTACTACGGAGCCAACGTGTTACTCACAAGCCGTTGGGCCTCCGCAATGGCGCGACGCTATGGACCAAGAGTTTAATGCTCTGGTTCATAACAGTACATGGACTTTGGTCCCGGCTGAACCACACATGAACGTGGTCGGTTGTAAATGCGTGTTCAGGACCAAGCGGACTGCAGACGGCTCGGTAGAGCAATACAAAGCCCGATTAGTTGCAAAAGGGTTTAATCAGGTGGCCGGTGAAGATTTTTTCGATACTTTCAGTCCAGTAGTCAAACCGACTACAGTTCGTCTCTTGCTCTCTCTGGCAGTGACGAATCACTGGACTCTACGCCAGCTGGATGTCCACAATTCCTTCCTTAACGGGCATCTGGCAGAGACTGTTTATATGAAACAACCACCAGGATATGAAGATCCCTCTCATCCTGATCATGTGTGTCACCTGCAACGGTCATTATACGGGCTTAAACAGGCACCACGGGCCTGGTTTAAACGATTACATGATTTCTTATTGACTGCAGGTTTCTTGGCATCCAAGACTGATGTCTCCCTCTTCCATTACTCCGCTGGCACTTCCCGCGTATACTTATTAGTATACGTCGACGACATCATTATGATGGGAGATGATCCGGCTCTACTCTCCACTTTACTTGACCGACTGGCTACAACATTTAAAATACGTGATCTCGGTACTCCTACCTTTTTTCTTGGGATTGAGACCCTCAAGACTGATACAGGAATCTTGTTGACTCAACGGCGTTACATGAAGGACATCCTAACTCGCGCCGGCATGACTGATTGCAAGCCGTTGACCACCCCAGCTGCTGTCAGTCAACCTGTGTCACCGTCTGAAGAACTCTTTGATAATCCCACGTAATACAGGCGCATTCTTGGAGCGCTACAGTACCTGACTATTACACGGCCGGACCTGTCGTATGCGGTTAATCGACTGTGCCAGTTCATGCACTCTCCCACAGTGGATCACTGGGCTCTCTTAAAGCGGGTAGTGCGATACATTAAGGGCACACTGGACTACGGGTTACGGATCAGTGTCTTCACGTCTTCTTCTATACATGCGTTTTCAGACACAGATTGGGCCGGTGACCCACAAGACCGGAAAAGTACGAGTGGCTATGCTGTTTTCATCGGTAAAAATCTTATTTCGTGGTTATCTAGGAAGCAGCGAACAGTGGCCCGATCCTCAACAGAGGCTGAATACAAGGCTCTCGCTGATGTCTCAGCCGAGGTCACATGGGTTGTCTCTCTTCTACGGGAACTCGGCCTGCGCTCCGGTGAACCGTCTACTCTCTGGTGTGACAACCTGGGTGCTACTTATTTGTGTACCAATCCTGTTTTTCACGCAAGAACTAAACACGTCGAGATCGATTTCCACTTTGTTCGGGATAAGGTTGCTTCCGGGGATCTAGTGGTCAATTTTGTGTCTACGAAGGACCAGCTGGCAGATATCTTCACCAAACCGCTTCCCCGCCCGCGGTTCGCTCTTCTACATGACAAGCTCAATGTGGTTGTTCATCCACCTTGTGCTTGAGGGGGTGTATTAACCATATTATAAGTCATTATTATTATTGTATTTTGACTAGTCTTGTAATAGGATTATTTAGTTATAGTCTCCCTGTTAGATAGGATAGTATTACGTTAGTTGTTATCTGCTTTATATTGTAACTCCTATCCTATTGGATGAATTGATCAGAAACTATTATCTCATCCTCTATTCTAAATATTATTTTAACAGGCTAATTTTAAATTTGATAATTAAGAGCAAAAAATATGTACAATAATTGAAACTATTTTATTTTATTATTATTATTATTATTTTTTTGTAACAAGGAAAACTCATATCACAACATACAACAAATAGGTCCAATAAAAAAAATTTGTACTTAAAATTAATAGCATTCATAAATCATAAGCACACCAATGATATTTTATTCCCTTGCAAATATCATTACAAATTAATTAATTGAAAAGTAATTGCAACAAAAATTCATTCCATTGCAGTTTTTCTTGCAATTTTTTTTTTTTTTTTTTTTTTTTTTTTTTTTTTTTTTTTTTGGCTGCAATGCGATTTTTGCAACAAACTTTTATTCCGTTGCAAAGTTTATTACAAAATAATTAATTTTATAAAACTTGAAAGGAAAATGAATTCTGTTGCAACATATTTCGTTGCATGGCATTTTTTGCAGTAATATTATGTTCCGTTATAAATACGTTACAAATATCGTAAATCTAATTTTTAAAAGTTAATAAAACTTTGCAATGAAATTGACTGTCGTTGCAAATTTAGTTGCAACAATTACAACGAATTGAATGTTGGTTTTCATTGTAATTTTTATTGCAAAAATGTTTCCCTTCAATTTTTTTGAGCCAAAATTTACACTTCCGTCAAAATTGCAATGAAAAATCTTTCTGTTGCAATGGAACTCCGTTGCAATTTTTGATAAAAATATCACAAGATGCATGCAACAAATTAAATAAGTCGAATATAATTTATTTTTTTTTTAAAAGAAAGTTTGTATTTAAAATTAATAACACTCACACCATGCATTATTTAATTAAACGAAAAAATGCATTATAAACCTAATATACAAACTCAACTACCAGGATTATGTGATCTAATGGTACCCGGGTTGGACTTCCATTTGGAAGGTTGTAAGTTCGAGTCTCAGTGGAGGTGCTATTAGCTCTTTGTGTTTCGGTAGGTTGAGAGAGTATATGAACAGAGCATTCAAAAAAAAAAAAATACAAACTCAACTAAAACATAGGAACTCAAGACTGGAAAATTCAACTGAAACATAATATTGTAGAGTTTTAAAGACTTTTAAAATGATAGATTTTAATAAACTTTGATTGACTTTCATAGAGTCGTTCAAAACTTTTTAAAACTTTATAAGATTCTATAAAAGTCTATATAAAAAACATTCATAGACTTTTATCAACTTTTTATTTTAAAAAGTCTACAAAAGTCATTGAAATTCTAAATTGAATACATCCTTACAAACTTTTAATGAATTTGATTCTTATCATTTATAATTTTTTCTGACAAAACATTTATAATATATCATAAAATTCTTCTTATTATATAGTTCTTCACCCATATCAACATTCTTAGCATTATTATTTTTAATTTTATCCATAGTATTGAACAATAAAATTTATAATAAAAGAATTGATCAAATAAAATATTAAAAATATAATTACAAGTTGCATAAAATAAAAAAAAAATAAAAATCTAATATATATATAATTATATATATATATATATATATATATATATATATATATATATATATATATATATATATATATATATATATAATTATACTTGATATATTGATAGGCATCACGTAAAGAACTATTATTTGCAATAACAATTTGAGACTGCGAACAACAACAAGGTGCTACTGTTTACAACTCCAAATTGTTATTGCGAACAGTAGTTCGCTATTCGTGTAACCTGTTGTTAAAAATAAATGAAAAATATATATTTCAAATATATACATAAAAAGAATAATAATCAAAATATATAAGTATTTATATGAATATTATGAATAAAATTTGATGATGAAAAATTTGCTTTGTTCATGTATTTAAGGAGAATTAGAGAAAGTTAGGGATAAAAAAATTCATATAAAAAAATCAATATGAACAAGCAATAATGAAGTAAAATTAATATTATTTCAAATTTTTAGAGGAAGATTGTAAAGTTTAGGAGAGAGAAAAATATGTAGAGTTTAGGTATGAGGAAAATATAGGATAATGAAGAAAAAAATAATTTTATTAAAATTAGATAGGTTTATAAAGTTAAAATAGGAAGAAAAAATAGAGTTTAAATAGAGAGAGAAAACATTCAAAGTTGTTAGAAAGAAAAATTTGAAATCTTGGGGTTGATGGTTGGATTTCAACTATTTATATTTGAGAAGGAAAAATCTACGAAAGTCTACAAAAGTTCTAAAATTAAAAAGTCTACAAAAGTTCATAACTTTTTGAATACCACATGACTTTTAAAGACTCTCTAAAAGTCTTAATCGAATACCACGCGACTTTTAAAGACTCTTTAAAAATCTTGATTGAATATCGCCTGACTTTTAAAGACTCTCTAAAAGTTTGAATTGAATACCTCCAAACTTTTGAAGTTCATAAAAGTCTTTAAAATTCTATGAAAGTCATGATTGAATACACCCTCTAAATCACTCTCTCGTGAGCTTTAAAATACAAACTCAACTAAAACATAGGAACTCAAGAATGAAAAATTCAACTGAAACATAATATCTCAAAAATGACAAATTAAATCACTCTCTCGTGAGCTTTAAAATTCTTGACATACTATTTAAAATCATTTTGAATATACTATTATATTATTCGCCGCCCGTTAGTTTAGACACGTTTAATTTCTTGCTGCTGACGCCTTTGGTGCTAGTTTCATAACTTCCATTAGAAGGTGGTAACACGTTTTCCCGTTGTTTACGGGGCAAGCTCGCAAATTTTATTTTATTTTTTAATAATCGCCTAATTGTGTCCTGGTGCTGCAAGAATTTATAGAAGATAAAATAGTCATTATACTACCAACATACAATTATGAACTAAAAATAGAATAGTGAAGACCACATGCATAATACTGATATATATCAAGTGGATCGTGCTATGTGAATCCGATCCACGTCTACATGGGTCAACACGACAACACTAACGTTGGTTGTGTTGTACAATAATCCCACGTTAGAATGTAGGTTTTGTTGATTTAGTTCACATTTTTATTTTATTTTATTTTATTTTTTTTGGTGTAAACCACAATGTGGCCCAGGTACGGTCCGTTTTATGGTCCACCCGTTCACTTCGGATTATTATCCCAGAATTCTCTCCCACAAAGAGAGCTCATTTGCCACTTAAGCTATCCTGTTGGGTTATTTAGTTCACATTCTAAAAATATAAGTCTAACTCAACCTATTTTAATCTATTAAAATATTTAAAATTTTTAAGTCTATAACTTATAATTTATACTTTCACTAAAAGGTCTTTGTGATCAAGTTTTACATGTAAAAGAAATGTAAATAACTAGAGTTTTAGCTAACCAACTCAAATTTATTACTAGTAGAAAGACTAGCTACTAAATTACATCATGAATTCTATTTTTACTTGCATGTTTGAGAATTATTTGAATTTTGGCATCTAAATTTAAAGGTTTCAAGTTAGAAAACTGAAGTACTAAAAAATGGGAAAAAAAAAAAGACAGAATACTTACAACTTGTAGAATAATGAGGGGGTGTGGCTACTTGACTGACGTTCAAATTTTCTATTGCTGAGAATATATATATATATATATATATATATATATATATATATATATATATATAGAGAGAGAGAGAGAGAGAGAGAGAGAGAGAGAGAGTGGCAAGAAAATGGTTAATCATAAGTTCATAATTCTTAATATTTAGAAGGTAGAATAGAACAATATAATACAATTAATATGAATTAAATACGATAAATGCAATGACTGATATTTACTCTTTTATTTCTTGGATATATGATTATGACAAGTCATGGATTAGACTTAAAAAAAATAGATTGTGCATAATTGCGTTGTTCATGTTTAATAACTTGAAGCCCCCATCCCCCCACACACACAAACAGAAAACAAAGAACGAAGATAATGCATGCAAGCTAAAGATGGATAAGAAATTAGCAGGCAAAAGTTGATGTGTAGAACCAATTGTGATATTATTGTTGGGAGACACAACACCACCTGTATATAGAACCATATGAACCAAATCCAAACATGAGTAGAGACACTACAAATCCTCAAGAAAACAAGTAAATTCTTACACATCATATATGCTCACGTTCAAATGTAAGCCCCCGGCCCCAAACTCTCGAAAGTCATGCAGGCAAAAAAAGAAGAAGAAGAAGAAATAGAATTCAATCAATGCTTACCAGTTTTAGCTGGGCCAGACAATCTGGAAGAAGAAGAGAAAAAGATAAAGAGAAATGTGATGAATAATAAAAGAAGAATAGAGAAAGGGGAAGTGGGCTTATGAGCCATGCAATGGCATGCAAGAGGGAGAAATGAAGCAAATCTCTGTTAGAAAATAATAGAGGAATCTTTAGCACACATCCCCTTTTATATAATTATTATTATTATTATATATATAGTACTCCGTATAGTATATGCTACGAACGCAATACGTAATTGCTACGTAAGTATGTAGTTGGTCAATATTTGGATTTTGGATTTGTAACGTGCCCTTGCAGTTCACGACCAGAAAGAAAGATTGGAATAGCCGCGTTTTTATAGGAAAACGACAACCCAAGTAATTGAAACCCGTTTGAAATGTCAACAGTCAAAAGAAGTCACTTTCTTCTTCAAAGTAAAGCATTGATTCCAGTCGCCGGTCACAGTTTGATGTTCTGTCCGGGTTGACCGACTTCGCCGGCGGAAAAACTAGATTAACCCCTTCCCCAACGCTTCTTCTTCTTCTTCATGGATTTGATCGGAAAACGCTGCTGATAGATTTTTCTGAGATTCAGGTTTTGATAGAAACAATTGAAACAAGTGCAGTGGTTCGGGGAAGAAGGAAAATGGGTGATGCGCTATGGGTGGCTACGTGCGTAAAAAGAAAAAAGGCAAAAGGAAAATGTGAAAAGAGTGATGGTTGTGGGCTTCGGAGAAGTGTGAAAAATAAGAAAAATAAAAAAACAGACAACGGAAAAATTGAAAATTGAAAATAGAAAACAAAGAACTGAGAACATAAAACAAAAAATTAGAGAAAGTTAATAACGGACCCTTTAATGTCATTAAAATAAAAAATCATAAGATATGCCTTGAGTAGCATACAAGCCTCCTAATATTTGTAAATTAGTGCTCATAAGTCATAATAAAGTCAAATTCATACTTCTCTTTGTTCCTTAGTAGGAATTTGTTTTTTTTTTTTTTTTTTTTTTTTTTTTTTTTTTTTTTTTCTTAAAAGGAGGGGAGACTAACAAATCAAGCTATATTCTAACTGTTCGTATTCTTCTCTCAAAAAGTTGAATCCCCAACCTGAAGGATCCTCTCACACTCTAGTCCGATAGAGCATTTTGGAGGATTTAAATTACGGTGACTCAATGACGGCAAATTATTGTGTGTACCGTGGTCCACATAGCTGTGTACATTACGTGTTAGAATAATGTACATTATGTGTTAGAATAATATACTTTATATGTTAGATAATATACATTACGTGGTAGAATAATAAAATTTCTGAGGTAATATAATGTACATTATGTTTTAAAATGATGTACGTTCTGCTTTAGATTATGTATATTATGAGTTATAGAAATGTATGTTGTAGTGGACCGCATGAATTTTTTTTTACGCAAAACGATGTCATTTTTGGACCGTGGTCTACATAGCTGTGTGAACCACGGTCCACGCAATAACTATTGTTCAATGGCTTAGCAAATAAAACCAAATGCCGATGCGCATATGAGATCTGTCCACTTTGAACATAATTCTCACATTATCACTGCTAAAATTCGAACATTGATCTCTTCTCCCATTAAGTGTTATTATTCTCATAGCACTAAGTGTGTCCTCGAAAAATCATTATTTGTTGAAGTGAATAAGGGGGATGTGCAAGCAGCCAAGCACCCGGAAACCCAAACACTATTCTATTATACTTTTGGTTAGAAACCAATGATAATATTTTTTTTAGAGTTAATTCCAATATTGGTTTATTAACTATTATATTTTTTCACTTTTAGTTTTTGATTTTAAAATAAATTAGTTAGATATAGTCAACGACTATTTAAAATGGATCACTATTATTCTTTTGTGAGAACTAAAATGTGGATACTTTGATTAAGAGTAAATTTCAATTTTGGTCCAATGACTATTGAAGTCTTGTTAATTTCAATCCATGACTTTAAAAATTAACAATTGAGTACCTTGACTATTCAATTTTTATTAATATTGGTCCATCCGACCAAATTACCGGCCAATTGTTGCCAGAATCTTGTAATGGATAAAATTTTGAAGATAATTTAGTTATTTGTTTTTTTTTTCTTCTCTAGTTAAAGATTGTTTGGACCTCGTTAAGCATTTCAGGAACCTTCAGATTACCCACATTCATCGAGAAGGGAATAAGTGTATTGACTGGCTAGCTAATTTTGGCCAAAGAATTAATTGGGGAACGCTCCTCCTGAACGACGCTCCGGAAGATATTACTAATCTTCTTAGTTCTGATGCTCGTAGTTATCCTTACTTAAGGGTTAGATAGTCCTCTCGTTGAGGGCTTCAAATTCACCCAAATAAATACAAATAATTAAAAATTATCATTTGAATTATATATACATAAATAATATATGTATTTTGTACACACATATATAATTTATCATTCATAGAAATTTAATTAAAATATAATTAAGTATTAAATTAATATATAATGATTTTAATAAAATGATAATTAAAAAATAGGAAAAAGATATGATAGATATAGGTGTATGGTAATAATGATGTGTTATCAATGTTAGAATTAAAAATTAACGGTGTAAGGGTAGTTTTGTCTAATAACATTGGAATGTACAACATTTAAAGTAAAATGTACACATTTATTTGCATACAAAAAGAGGAACATAAATCAAGGACATAACCTTAATTGAGGCTTATTATGTTTTTAGAATAGAAATAATTATTTTTGGATTTATTTTCACTATTTATTGGTGAGTGGCCGGGATTTATTCTTGAATATGTGGAGGATTGTTGAAAGTATTTAATAGAAAAATGCTTCTCTCACATTAAACTTGTCCCACATTGCTTGTGATAGTCTCTTTTTCCTTCCTTATATACTATGACACCTCTTGGAATTTTGAAATCTTATGAAAGGGAAAATAGGAGAGACCATGATAATAGTTTTTCCCTATTTTCACGGACAAACTACTTCTTGTGCGTATAATTATTGTGAGGACATTCAATACATGATCCTCCTTTTGCGTATATAAGCAATGAGGCTGTATTGCTGTACGCTAGAAACACACACAGGGAGCCTCCCTAATACTCAATGGCTGTATTGCTATACACTAGAAACACACGCATACTCAATTCGCCTGGGGCTGTATGCTGCCTCCCTAATACTCAATTCGTCTGGGGCTGTATGCTGCCTCCCTAATACTCAATTTGCCTGGGGCTGTATGCTGAAAACACACGCTGTAACTGTGTTATCGGTCGTAAGCAAGCTGTGAGTTGCCGAAAATTGCTTTTAAGGGATTGTTTTTCGAATGCAACACAGTGCTTCTACCATTTCGCACTCCATCCTTAAACCTCTTGTCCTCTTCACTTCTGTCAACATTGAATCTTCGAAATACAACAGTTATAGCATGTGGTTCCATATTCACTTGCCTATACTATTTAAGGGAGAGCATAATTATTTGTTCAGAAATTAGACATAGATAGTCTATTTCTTTCTTGTCCCATTATCACTTTGAGTATGATGTGTAAGTTCCAATCCCTACTCCGGGTGTATGGAGACAGAGATTGCTGTGTTAACCTTCAGGGGTGATACCGCTGTTGTGAGCCTGCACCAATAGCGGCGAGTTGGCTTCTATGGCAGTGGTTATACCACGACACATCAGTTATTTATTTTCACTTTATCAGCCAATTTTTCCAACAAGTAGAAGCGAATTCCGTTCTGATAAGAGTGAAAATGGCATATCGTCATGATAAGAAGATAGGGTTTGTACTTGCATTCCGGGGACGTGCATTCGCGCTCCAAGACCTATTGTTGTCTGTGTCGGACCGTCGAGGCAGTTGGTCTCCACCATCCCAAACAATTCTATAAGCTGGATCATATAATATAGAGCTAAGTATTATACATTAATGCTTTAATGTTTATGTGCGGTATTCATTTTTTATTGATTGCGGATTGGTTATGCAAAAAAAAAAAAAAAAAAAAAAAAACAACAACATTTCCTATAAATTTGCAGAATGAGATATGATTAATCTTGATTATAAAGATATCATGTTATTGTGTTTACTAATACGTAAGCATTTCTTAGGCTTAGAGCTTTTTATTTATTTATTTTTTTAAATGCGTCTTTCTTCGCAATTTGAGGATAAAAATTATTTATATATGTGATTACTGAATAGCCTTTTTTTTTTTTTTTTTTTTGTGCGTATCATTCTTATGTAGGGGCCATGCTAATCTTCTCTGTTTCGTTCCAATTTTATCGGTTGGTAACAATATTTAGGTGTCATGATTAGTATTGCTTAATTGGTAGACAATTATGCTTATATAGAAAAAAACTATTAAATATACATTTTATACGTTC